TTGTTCCCAGGAAACTGTCCTTAGGACTGCAGCCAAAGTGCACCAATATATTGATTGTCAGGGATGCCCTGCTAACCCAACAGTTCAGCTTGAATCTTGCTTATTGGTTGTGATCAGGTAACCAAGTACTAAATAGGTGTTAAAATGAGTCTAATTAAATTTAAATGTATCCATTTATTTATTTTATTTATTCGATTTATACCCCACCCTTTCAACCAAAGCTGGCTCAGGGTGGCTTACATACAATTTAAAATGCCAGAAGTGCTCCAGATGAATTTTGGAAAATGCCATGATGACAATCCCATCAGCAGCTCACCTCACATGTAAGCATGAAACACAGATAAAGGTGATATAGCAACAAGACCCATTTCGAAGTTCTCTGCTTGCCTGTTTGTTGGCCAAGGATGACTTTTATTATCTTGCAGTAAAAATATTAAAACTAATTGTAACATCCCGTAGGGACCTCTCAAGAAAATGTTAAATGGCTGCAATAATTATCCTTATTCACTTTACATTTCCATCATTTACTTGTAAATATTAAGATTTACCAAGATAAGCTAGAAAATGCCACCCAAACTGTTAAGAAATGAATTGCTTTGTAATTACATAATGTGATTTCATTTAATGCATTTAAAGAAGGAGGTACTGAAGGATATTCCCCAATAGTTTGGGGATAGATTCCTTTGGCCACCCTGGAAAGTGGATGCTATGACATTATACCCTAGTTAAGTGCCTCACCTCCCTAAACCCCACCCTCCACAGTCTCCACCCCAAAAATCTCCAAGTATTTCCCAATTCAGACCTCACAACCCGAGGGAAGAGGAAGGGAATGTGATTGTGAAAAGTACTGGGTTCGACACATGGAGAACTCAAACTACGACATGCATTCAGTTTATTGTACTTCCAAACAATTCACACAAAATGGCCCTGCAAGGCCAACTATATACACTCCACCTGGCACACCTCTGTTCCCATTGGAGGGTTTGAATATCCCGCCAAGGGTGCTATTGGTGGACTCCCGGTGGACTAAGATCCTAGGTTCCCATTGTCTTTGGGACCAAGTTCCTGCTTCAGCCGCGGACCCCTAGTGGCGGTCCGTGTACATAACAGATTGTAAGCCACTTTTGTTGTAAACCTACTCTTCTTCTTCTCTTTGCTTGAATTCTCTGATACTGTATGTGGTTTTTGGTGTGGAGTTTTTTTCCTGTTGCCTCAGAAGGTTGGACCAGAACCAATGGGTTGATATTAAACCAGAAGAGTTTTCGGCTAAACATTAAGAAGAACTTCCTGACAGTTAGAGTGGTTCCTCAGTGGAACAGGCTTCCTCGGGATGTGGTGGGCTCTCCTTCTTTGAAGGTTTTCAAACAGAGGCTAGATGGCCATCTGACAGCAATGCAGATTCTGTGAACTTAGGCAGATCATGAGAGGGAGGGCAGGAAGGGTTGCCTCAGCGCTCAGTTCTCGTGGCCCTTTTTTACATGCCCAGGGAAATGCTGGTCGCCACTCTGGGGTCAGGAAGCAATCCTGGCGGGGTTTTTGTCATCTTCTGGGTGTGGAACAACGGTCACTGCGGGTGTGGAGGGGGAGGTGTTTGTGAATTTAAGTTCATTTAAGCTTTTAAAAAAACCTAAAATTCATGACTATGATACAAGCCCAATTTCTTGATTTGGCGTGGAATGCCCCACTCATTATTGACCATGAGAACTGAATGTGTGACCTTGGGCCGGTCATGCTTTCTCAGCCTGACCCACCTCACAGGGTGGTTGTGAGGATGAAATGGAGGGCAGCAGGAGGACGTAAAAGCTGCTTTGGTTAGAAAAACAGGGTATAAATAAATCCACCATTTTAATATTTTAATATTTAGGATGATGTTTTAAATTTAAATTGTATTGTATTAACTAATATATTTTGTATAAATGAAATGTTGTTACCCAGCCTGAGCCTGCTTCCAAGAAGGGTGGGCTATAAATGTGAAGAAATTAATTAATTAATTAATTAATTAAACAATGACAAAGGCCAGCGTTGCTTATCTCTCTGCCCTCCACATTTCAAAAAAGCTTCAGGTATTGAAGCCCCAGAGAGCTACGTCCCTGTCTGAATTCATCAGGTTCCCAGTTCAAATTCAAGATTTTCTAAAATTCCCATATCACAAACAAAGCCAAAAGTGGACTCCCCAGTTCAGGTTCAAAAGTCAGGGGCAACATTGTTTGAAACAGTTCCCTCTCAAACTTTAAAAAAAATATTAAAGTTTGGTTGAGATTCTGATTTGTTATTATCAATTCTCCACAAAGCCTTCCTCTGCCTCTGAGAGCCGGCATGGTGTAGTGGTTAAGAGTGGTAGACACTAATCTGGAGAACCGGGTTTGATTCCATTCTCCTCCTCCCACACAAAGCCTGCTGGGTGACCTTGGGCAGTCACGGTTCTCTCAGAACTCTCCCAGCCCCACCTGTTTCACAAGGTGCCTGTTGTGGGGAGAGGAAGGGAAAGGTGATTATAAGCCACTTTGGGACTCCTGAAGGTAGAGAAAAGCAGGGTATAAAACTGGGAAAGTGGAGCGAAAGAGAATAAAACCAACATTGTTGTGGTTCCCTCTGGAACATTTGTTTAAATTAGCTGCCGGCCCCCCATGGCCCCCTCCCAAAAACGTCCCTAGCTACGGGGCTGCCCTACCCCCAGACTGCTCCAACTCAGGCACAGAACCTCCATCTTCATTGGATTCAATTTCAATCGACTTAGTCTAAGCCAACCAGCCACGGCTTTCAATGCTAGGTCCAGATCTTCCAGGCTAGCGTCAGACTGGCCGCCCAACAGCAGATAGAGCTGGGTGTCATCCACATATTGGTGACACCCCAGTCCATACTTCTGGGCAATCTGGGCAAGGAGGCGCATCTAGATGTTAAACAACATCAGGGAAAGCATCGCTCCCTGGGGCACTCTGCAGGCTAACGGGTGCCTTTGGGAGAGTTGTTCCCCAACAGCCACACTTTGTCCCTGATCCTGGAGAAACTAGGAGAGCCACTGTAAGGCAAACCCCTGAATCCCAGCATTGACAAGGCAGTGGATCAGTAGTTGGTAGTCGACCGTGTTGAATGTCGCTGACAAGTCCAACAACAACAATATCACTGAACTACCCTGATCCAGATGCCTCCAAAGGTCGTTCGTGAGGGCGACCAGTACTGTCTCCATCCCATGGCCTGGTCGGAAACCAGACTGGAAATGATCTGGAGGTGTCATCCAAAAAACTCTGCAACTGAATCGCCACCACTCTCTCAATTAGTTTGCCCAAATAGGACAAATTGGAACCTGGCCGGTAGTTTAAATGTTTTGTGGTCTGCTTCTGGCTTGAGGATTATTTTATCTATGTCATTGTAGGCTGCTCTGTGCATATTCTATGCTGTTGTCGTTCACTGGCTTGTTTTTTAATGGTGCTGATGATGTTGGTCTGGGTTTTTTTAGTTGATTGTCGTTTGATGGTGTGACCTGTTTTTTAATGCTCACATTTTTAAAGTAGCTTGGTTTTTAATGCTTGCTTTAATGGTTTTCTTGTATTGGCTGTAAGTCACCTGAAGCAGGTCTCCAGAGAGGAGCCATATAAATATTCTAAATAAATAAATAATAAATAAAGATTAGAGGAGGAAATGCAAAGTCCAAGGTGGCTACAGGTGAAGGGTCTAGATGGATACTCTGCCTGCAGCCATCTTGCATCATTTTTTCAGATTTTATCCTTGCAACAATCCTGTGAGGTAGGTTAAATGGAAGCATGGTGACTGGACCGACAATATTTAATGCACTTAATAGTACAGCAAATGTTTGAACCCAGGACCAAATCTATTAACAACTCTCTAGCAGATCTTGTGTTCCTGAAATTCGTGGTGCAGAGGGCGCAGAAATGCTGAACAAAACAACAACATTAAATGTATTTGTCCTTAAAGGAACAGGAGTATTGTAATCTACTTTGTGAGGACTTTACAAATAGAGATCAGTTGCCATTCCCTACTATGTGATTTAGGCAATGTCTAGACGGGATACTGGTGCTACCTAGGGGTAGCTTAGGTATATTTCTGACATCTCAGCATAATCTTTGGACACAGCCTCCTAATCAGTATGCACAAGTGATCTCTTTGATATGCATATAAGCATGCAGGGGATGGTTTGGAGGGGACTTGTCATGATGAGGCACATGTCATATGATTATCTAGGGCTCTTTTGTAAAAAGGAAAAGAGAAGGAAACAACCGTCTCCTGGGGCTGATGCACAACTATTGTCAGCAGTGTCTTTCCTCTTGTTCCCCATGGTCTCTTTTTAATGATCTAGGATGCATTGCTCCCTAGAGGATTTCCTTCACAGCTTGTCCTTTTTTCATCACAAAATATTCAAAGACAAGGGAAGTGGGTGGGAGTCTTCTTGGCTACAACTGGAAAGTCAAGTAACTTCAAACAGTATGTTAAGAGATACTGCTGCAGATCATGATGCTTGTTTGAAGCTTTAAGTGTGGTCTGTTTAGTGAATTCCATGCAAACACTCCCAAGGGAGCTCACTGGAGTAACAGTACCTATTTCCGTACTCTGAAGGAGTAAATGAAAATGTTCACTGCTCAGAGGACTGCCAAATGCACCACCCTTTAAAATACAGTACACAGGATTTTGATCACCTTGGCTCTCCATACAAAGATCTTCCCTCTCTCAGATAATAGAGAAATATGCTAAACTATTTTAAAGTATTTGTGATAAAAACCGGGTTTGTTGCAAAACAAATTCAAAGTGCCATACCTTTCATATATATGTATATGGATATATATTCAAACTAGTGGCTGTCCTTTCTCTTTGTATGGTTTCAAATGCCAGTGGAGGAAACATGAGAGCCTCTGTATCTTAATGTGTTCTGTAAATACACAAGGTTCCTATTCTTTCAAGACGGGCTTTGCACATGCAAATTGTGGCCCTGAGCAGCAGGCTCACAAAGTTGCACTGAGAAACAAAAAATGGTAAGGTTAACTTACAGTGGCAATGCCTGTTTTCTGGTTGTGACCCACACCACCATCCACTGCCCGCACAATAAGTATATACTCTGATTTAGCTTCCCGATCCAGAAGAGATGTTGTGGTGATTTCCCCTGTAGAAGACAAAAAAAGTGAAATGAGCAAGAAGAGATGATAGGTTGACGCTTTGTGGCATCTGAAAGACAGAAAAGTTACAAGGCACCTAAGCATACATGTGGACATGCTAGTGTGGTGTTCCCAGCATGCGGGACTAGACCCAAAAGTGGGCCAAGAAGCCTCTGAAAGTGGGTCGTGGGCCAACCCTCCCTAATGGCTGCACTTGCCCTTTCCATTATTCTCTTTCGTATTTTGGAAAACAAGATCTGACACTGGAAACAGTATCTTTCATGTCATATATTAGCTGGTATTTTTTCTTCACTGCGTATGTATATTGATATATATATATATTGATAAAGTAAAACATGTCCTGATGGTTTCTAGACTGAGTTTCTTAGGATCTTAGAGGGGATTAGAGGGAGTAATGGAGAAGGAGAGTGAGTCAAAGGCTGGAATGTAACCTCCATATGCAAAGCCTGTGTGCGTCATAATGCCATTTGCTCAGGGTTCATGGTGGGGGTAGTTGCATCCTTTGTGGTTTATTGGTTTCTCAAAAACATCTGGTCAGCCATTGTAGAAAATGGAATATTGAACCAGATGGGGGACAAGGTCATAGTTTGCCTAGGTCACCCAAAAACCTTGAGCCACCCTTGGATGGGCCACTATAGCAAGTAAATCTGGACTTCTGGGCAGTGTTCCCTCTAAGCTGAGTTAGTGTGAGCTAGCTCACAGTTTTTTAGCCCCCGGCTCACACATTTTTGTCTTCACTCAGGAAGGATGGCTCCAGAGCAAACTAATTTATATAGGAACCAAATCACTCGCTCACAACTTTAATTCCAGTAGTTCACAAAGTAGAATTTTTACTCACAAGACACAGTGCTTCTGGGTCACTATAACAAAAATGTTGAGAACCACTGTGCTAGTGCACAGGGCATGCAAAAAACGTGCATACTGCTCTGATCATTGGCTGAGTGACAATAACATCATGGAATGCTCACAGAAATTCTAATTGCTATGAGAGGAGATGATAGCAATAGAATGCAGACAAAGTGAAATAGTGGGGAGGGTTTGGAGGACAAATGAACTTTCTCAGGCCCTAGGAAAAGATGGGCTAGTGCACTGTTGGCAGGAAGCAGCAACCACAGCCGTGGGTGCTGGGCAGGTGAAGTAGCTGGGGACGGGGAAGTAGAGTGGGCAAGAGTGCCTAGCTCAGTTCTGCATAGTGATTTGAAAGGATCAGGTAAACCTTTGGCTGCTGGTCTTACTACTAGTCAGTGTTCCCTCTAAGCTGAGTTAGTGTGAGCTAGCTCACAGTTTTTTGGCCTCCAGCTCACACATTTTTGTCTGAGCTCAGGAAGGATGGCTCCAGAGCAAACCAATTTATGTAGGAGCCAAATGGCTCGCTCACAAATTTAATGTCAGTAGCTCACAAAGTGGAATTTTTGCTCACAAGAATCCACAGCTTAGAGGGAACATTGTGTGTTGAACCCGTATTTTTGCTGTAGCCCTTAGAATAACCAAGCTTGCAGTGCAGCAGAGAAGACCGTAGGTTGCAATGATCAGTAAAATGGCACCCCTTGTACTTACACAAGACTGTGGAATTATTTAATACAATATATCCCATTCCAGATTCTTTATATTTAGTAGGCTGACAAGCAACATGTTATCCAACTGCACAGTGTTCAGCTGCCCCTTGCTAACCAGGCTGTGCCCGTCTCAGTCTGTTGTCCTCGTTAACTGGCCTGAGAAGTAATTTGGAAAGGGCTTTGAGTGGCTTTTGATCTGAGATCATTTTCAGTCATGATTACTCCTCCATGCTGAAATACTGTCTATATAGAGAAGAGCATCATGCATGCAGAAGGGAGGAGAAAGGGGGTGATCCTGTTGTTCTGCTCTGTGGTCTTGGAGGAGTAGGAATTTTTCTGTAGGAGTTCCTTGTTGAAATTTGCTGAACCTGCCCTAGGAAGGTGTACCTAATTGGATGTAACTTTGTGGACAAAAAGGAGCAATTCATCATTGAGACACACTCATATTTAAAATTTCCCCCCCCCTTACTGATTAATTTTTCCCAGTCTACAGATTAATGGATATCAAAAAACTTCAGAGGCAAATGAATTTTAGAGAGAACCTCTTTAACCTCTTGCAGTGCTCTGATCTAGATTAATTTTTAACCCTCTCCCATTCCCAGTATCTACTGTGGGCACCCCTCACAATTAAAGTGATGTGTGTTTAGAGCAAGCTGGGAACTGAGTATGCTGGATTGTATAGGTTGATTACAGGGGTGGGGTGAGACTGGGGGAGGGACTAGTAGATGGACTGGGTTGGGAAATGCTTGGAGATTTTGGGGGTGCAGCCTGGGAAGGGCGTGGTTTGGGGAGGGGAGGGACTGCAGTGGGGTACAATGCCATAGAATCCACCCTCCAAAGCAGCCGTTTTCTCCAGGGGATACTGATCTCTGTTGTCATTGTCTGTAGATCAGTTGTAATTCCAGGAGATCTCCAGGCCCCACCTGGAGGTTAGCAACCCTATGGAGGGATGAATCTTGCCTCGGTTGGTCTACTGTGAACCTTTGGGTCCCTATCAGCACAGTGATTCTAAATACAGGATCCTGAATGTGATACTGTGTGAGAGAAGAATTACAGGAGATACAGCCAAGATGACTCTATTAAATACTTCCACGGTCTTTTGTAAGTACAAGATTATCGCAACCTACAGTCTTCTTCTCTGCTGTGCTGCAAGCTTGATTATTCCGAGGGCTACAGCAAAATTAAAGGTGCAGCACACATTAGTAATAGGACCTGCAGCCAAAGGTTTACCTGATCGTTTCAAATCACTGTGCAGAACTGAGCTAGGCACTCTTCCCACTCCGCTCCCCAGGCCCCAGCTACTTCACCTGCCCAGCACCCATGGCTGTGGTTGCTGCTTCCTGCCATCAGTACAAGAGGAAGAGGGAAAGAAGGGAGCAAATATACATGCTGCAAAAGGGCTAGGAACACGAAAGAGACGGGGAATGGTCTTATGGCTGTGCTCACCTGAGCGAGCATTAATCCGAAAATGTGAGGAGCCTTCCAAGGAAAAGATTATGGATTCCTGACCATATTCTCTTGATCGGTCCAAATCAGTGGCATTTAGGAATAGCACTGTTGCACCTAACGCAAAAAGAAAGGAATGAAGATTCTCACTCTTCAGGTAATACCACCAGCCTTTCCCACAAGCCATGTTAAACTGGCTATAATTTATGCTTATGTAAGTCATTTGGAACTAAGTCACTTTGTAGCTAAAGTTGTGGGATAAAGACTTAGAATCCAGAATCTGGGAAGAAAAAGACATGCTCTTCATCCACAAAGAAAGGAACGTAATTTAAACACTTCCCCCCATTATGCTTTCATTTAAACCATGTTTCACTTTCATTGTTATTACATTTGTTTTTGTCACTTTCTTTCCCCAACACACAGACACCCCATGCTGGGTCCACTGCTGCTGGCCCGGTGTGCAGTGACAGTTTCTAGCTAGGCAGGTGGATGGCCAGCTGACCATCTAGGTACCTTGCAAACCACTGAGCCACAGTTTTATCACTAGCAGTTAAACAAACATAGGTGTTTTGTTTATAGACATCAAAGGAACAGGCAAGTTTAGAAATGAAATATAACTCTTTCACTTCAGTTGGATCTGGTATCTTAACAGGCTGTCAGGCTAGGAACTGGATATTTAGAGACTGGTATCAGATAATACAAGGGACAAGAAAATCCCCTGGATGAGCATTGTCTGACACCTCCCAAAGACTGAAGCCTTTTTAAAAGCACAAGGATCCCGGAAGTTCTGATTTGGAGTCTACCCTCCAGTTATGCATGAGAGTCAGAGTTTAGTGGTGCTTGCAAGTTTGACAAGTCAATGGTGAAGGGGACTTTGAAATTGATCTTTAAAGAGTGGGTATTAATGGCTGGAGGCAGAGGGGATCAAGAAAGGATATTATACCTCTCTGGATCTTCATTAGCTTTTCCCCTAGGGATTAACAGTTGATCTATCAGGGCTAAGGAGGACAAGTATTGGTAGGCAACAATGGGTGGGAAACAGAATTCCTAGATTCTGGAATGTGACTATTGGTTTACACACTTATACCCTGCATTTCAATTCAGAATATACAAAGCCAAGTGAGAAGTTAATCCTGGTCTCCTGTTGTCCCAGCTGCTTATTAGTTCTCTTCTCAGGCCATGCCCATAGGGGCACTTTCCCTCCTGGGAATAGGCTGTGGGATGGTGTGGAGAATCCGGATGCTGATATTCCGACTGATGGGCTCTCTTGCTTGGGTTACCAACCCCCAGGTGGGTTCTGGTGATCTCCTGGAATTACATCTGATCTCCATGCTATAGAGGTCATTGCCTCTGGAGGGTTGGCTGCTCCATGGTACTATATCCTGCTGAGGTCCCTCCCCAAACTCTGCTGTCCCCAGGCTCCACCCCAAAATCTCCAGGAATTTCCCAACCCAGGGTTGGCAACCCTGTCTCCTCCCCTGAGGCTGCAGACTTCCTTTCATTTGCAGCAGCAGTGGCAGGATCTGAGGAGCAAAGTTCTCTCTTCAGTCCTCCTGCTGTTCTTGGGGCTATTCACTGCTGTCTCTAGTTCCAATGGGAAGTCCCTCATTATTCATTTGCCCCTTCTTCAGGGTGATGGGCTGCCAATAGAATCCAAGACATGAGGGGTCTGGTGACAGCTGGACAGAGCAAGCCAATGGAAGGGGCCTCATTTTCTCTTCTGCGGGGTACAATGACTGCTGAGGGAGTCTGAGAGGGGAGAGACTAGGATGCAGTTGGCTTAGGAAGGGGCCTCATTCTCCCACCCTCCCTTCCCTTGACCCTATCTATGATTATGTCAGCCTTCTCCTATGGAAACCTTGGGGTCAGTTCCAATTTATATTTAACTAGTATATCAAAATAGTAAATAACAATTATTAACTAAATTAAGAATTTAGTTAATAATAAATTAACAATAATAACAACATTAACAATAACAAAACTAACACTGATAAATTAACAGTTAAATAACAAAATTAACAATTATTAGCCATTAAATAATAGGACATAGGAAATAACAATTCTTGTCTCACAGGAAGGCCCTTGGGCTGTCATATATTCTGAAACTCTCCTAAAGTTTTTCCCTGGAGTAGACTCCTAGTGCGGTTCCCAAAGAGAGCTCTGTTCCTTATGGCAAACAAAATGACTAAAAAGAGTATGCAAGCATTCAAATTCACCAGAACAGGCTGGATGTTACAAAAATGAAAAAGTAGGAGTGGGAAACCGATGTCTCAGGTCATGGTCTTAACTATTAAGATCCTGTGCAAAATGCTTAGCAAGCATGCAGATCTGAAATGGGGCTGGTGGTGTGTTGCACCCTGGCTTTTTTGGTAGCAAGATGTAACAAATGGCTTCTTCGTACTAGAATCACAAAATACCTTTCTTAACATTTCTGTGTTGCACTTGAACATCGCACACACACAACCCCTTCCCTCATGTTGTTGGGGTATCTTGCACATCTTGGAAAGAAAGAAATGTGCTAGTCAGCCTGTCCCAGTGAAATTCTGGGAATGTCAACAGTACCAGGGTTCTCTTGATATTTATTGCTAATTCATCATTGACATGGCAAGTTGTCACCCAGAATATTGCTTTTCAGAGGGCAGTTTTGTCAACAACAGGAACATCTCCCATACCTGCCATAATATCTTCCATGACTGTAATGACATAGGAAGGCTTGCTGAATGTGGGTGGGTTGTCATTTTCATCCTACAGAGTTAAAAAGAAAAGTGTAAAGCATAATGTAAACCTGCAAGACAGCAGCAATATTCTGTCATGAAGCATGACATAAATACCCAGAAATATAACACCACCTAATTTATTGGCAAAATGTGGAATGTGGATTGCATTCTGTTTGAAATACGATAGAAACACTTAGGTATCAGAACACGGAAATATCAAAATAAAAATTGGGACATATGTTCAGAGCGCTATTCTATTTCTCAAGTTGGAATACCATCTTGACCCTATGCTCCTTTCAAAGGGGATGGACAGAAAATGTGAAACACATTTTAGTTACCTGTTTTCACCTGTTATGAAATTGAAATATTACAATGAGTATCAGGAGGGGCTGTCTCTCTACAGAGTACTGTAAAAGAATTCCCTGGAAAAGTGTTTCCTGGGGAAAACAGTTCATGGGTTGTTTGTTTGTTTTTAAAATACCCCAAATACATTTTATAGGCTGGAGTCACCCTCCCCGACACTCCAAATGTCAAAGTTGGTATATTTCTGAGGTCATTTTGTACCCTGTAAGCAGTAAGTGGCCATTCAGAATCCCAGGGAAGTATTCTCAGCAAGTCACTGTTTGTTAACATGAAGCTGACAGTGTCCTAAGAGGGAAAATGTATAGTTCCAGGGAGGGGTTGTGGCTCAGGGGTAGAACATCTGCTTGGAATGCAGAAGATCCCAAGTCAATCCCTGGCATTTCCAGTTAAAAGATTTGGCAGTAGGTGATGTGAAAGACCTCTGCCTGAGACCTTGAAAAACTGCTGCCAGTCTGAGTAGAAAATAATGACTTTGATGGACCAAGAGTCTGATTCAGTATAAGGCAGCTTCATGTGATCCACTCCTTTCTATATTCTTCCAAAAAATTGCCACTGGGCTAGGAATTTACCCCAGACGATAGGGCCAAGAATTAAATCAAAACATAGTTTAGCCTACCTTTTTATAAGACATTAAATTATTTCACAAACATTCTGAGAAGGAATTACCAACACACATACAAGAAAAACAAATCATATTTCAGTGCAAAGAACACTATCCCATATAAGACCACAGTAAACTGCAGTGAGGGAATACAAACTTTCTACATGGGGTAGGGGATGAAAACACCCAGATAGGCACTGTACCACAGCAGAAACCAATATTTCTAAAATCCCACTGTCAATAGTCAAAGGTAGTTCAAAGAGATATTAGGACTGTCCCATTTGGCTGGAAAGGACACTAAGAATATATTGAGTATGATGATGATGAAGAAGAAGAAGAAGAAGAAGAGATTGCATTTATACCCCACCCTTCACTACCCAAAGGAGTCTCAGAGCGGCTTACAAACTCCTTTCCCTTCCCCTCCCCACAACAGACACCCTGTGAGGTAGGTGGGGCTGAGAGAGCTCTGACAGAAAAAGCAGGTTGCTTACCAGTAACTGGTGATCTTCGAGTGGTCATCTGTGCATTCACACCCATGGTATCTAGTGTGCACGCGCTGGATCGATCGGTGCTGTAGTAAGCTCTATTTTAATGGATTTTCGTGCCCAGTCCCTCCGGGCATGCGCAGGAACCCCACCGCGCATGCCCAGAGGGGTGGGCGCGAACATCCGACCAGTTCCTTCAAAGTACCGCTGCAAATCAACCCCCATTCGAAAATGTAGAAGCTGACAGCAGTGGGGAAGGAGGATGGGTGGTGTGAATGCACAGATGACCACTCGAAGATCAGCAGTTACTGGTAAGCAACCTGCTTATCTTCGACGTGGTCTCTGTGCTTCACACCCATGGGAGATTAGCAAGCAGTAGCCTACCTGGAGGTGGGTGCTGGCAGGTCTTTTACTGCGCAGCCGAAGACAGAATGTGACGTCCCATGTTGGTACCGGTGTTCGTATGGACGTCTAGGGTGTAGTGCCTGATGAAGGTGTTAGGCATGGCCCAGGTAGCGGCTTTACAAATGTCCGGCAGTGGCACTCCCTGTAGGAAGGCAGTGGAAGTCGCGACAGCCCTGGTGGAATGAGCCCTGATAGGACCAGGCAATGGCTGCTTGGCGAGTAGGTAACAGATTTAGATGAGACCTACAATCCACTTCGAGAGGCGCTGAGCCGTGATGCGACTGCCTAGCCGTGCTGAAGCGTACGAGACGAAAAGTTACGGGTCTCGTCTGGTTGGATGCGTTCTTTGGAGATAGAACAAAAGAGCACGCTTGACATCTAGAGTGTGTAGTAGTCTGTCCTCTGCTGACGTAGGGTTTGGAAAGACGTCTGGGAGGAAGACCTCAGCATGTAGGTGGAACTCTGACACCACCTTCGGCAGGAAGGAAATGTCCGGTACTAGTCGTACTCCATCTGGCAAAAACGACAGGTAGGGTGTGTCATGGCGGAAAGCCAGTATCTCTCCCACTAGCCTAGCCGAGATGATGGCAATTTAAAAGGCCGTTTTCCAAGCCAGAAGTTTGAGCTCACATGTTGCGAGTGGCTTGAAGGGCTTCCTTGTCAGTTGGCGTAGAACTAGAGGAAGGTCCCATGGAGTAACTGGAGTTTTAACAGGAGGGTAAAGGTGAAGCAAACCTTTTAAAAACCTTTTCGAAATTGGATGTGAAAACAAAGTACATCCTTCAACTGGTAGGCCGAAAGAGTGGCCAAGTAAACTTTTAATGAAGAGTGGGAAAGTCCCGAGTCAGCTAAGGAGAGGAGGAAACGAAAAACTCTGTCGAGGCCAGCTGAGGTGGCTCGAGTGGAGTTCTCACCGAGGAAAGAGCAGAACTTCTTCCATTTATAAGTATAAGACTTCCGTGTAGTGGGTTTCCTTGAATTCAGGAGGACGTTAACTACATGGGAGGAGAAGCCTGTGACGTTACCTGCCATGCCGTCAGTTTCAACTGTGGTATGTTGTGATGGAAGACGGGGGAGTCTGAGAGCAGGAGGAGGTCTGGAGCCGGGGGGAACTGATGGTATATTCCCCGTGAAAGCTCGAGGACCATTGAAAACCAAGGCTGTCTTGGCCACCATGGTGTTATTAGGGTACAGTCCGCGGCTTCCCTGAGAATCTTGCGTACCACTCTCAGAAGCAGAGGTAAGGGTGGGAACAGGTAATGGAGCCCTGATGACCAAGGGTAGAGGAGGCCATCTCCCAGAGATTGTGGGTCTTTGCCTCCTCGACTGCAGAAGAGATGACATTTTTTGTTGCTTCTGGTCGCAAAGACATCAACTAGGGGAGTCCCCCACTTGTGGAAGAGTGGGAGGAGGTATTTTGGATTCATCCCCCACTTGTGTAGACTGAGTCCGGCTCGACTTAGATGATCTGCCTGCATGTTCATGTGGCCCGGGATGTGAGTGGCAATGAGAAATATGTCGTTGTCGATGCACAACTCCCAGAACTGGATGGCCAGGTTGCATAGGCGTTAGGACACCGTGCCTCCCTGCCTGTTGATATACGACAGTGCTGTGGTGTTGTCCGTCAGGACTGTGACACATTTTCCCTTGAGTAAGGGGAGGAAAGAGGTGATGGCGTGTCGTATGGCTAGGAGTTCGGGGAAGTTTATGTGTTTTTTCCTCGTCTGCGCATCCCATTTGTCTCCGACAGAAAGCGCCATGGAGTGTGCACCCCATCCCATCAGGGAGGCATCCGTAGTAATTGTGACCTCCGGTGATGGAGGGTGGAAGGGCGCTCCCTGAAGGGACAGTCCACCAAATTAAAGAGTCCTGAATGCTGGGGGGAGGGGATAGGATGACAGTGTGTGCATTTGTTGACAGGTCGTAGTGGCGAATGAACCCTAATTGTAAGGGACACATTTTGAGTCTCGCAAAGACGAGGACGGACGTAGTTGCTGCCATTAGACCGAGCAGCCGCTGAATTTTGAACGCGGTGACGGAAGGGTGGGTTTGGACGACGGTGGCCAGGGAAATGATATCTAATGAACCCTATATGATGTTCTCTATCTGATGTTGGGCGGTCAGTCAGACTCCGACCCAGAAGATCTTCACCGGGCATTACAGGCTGTATCTGGATGGCTCGGGCTGAGTCAGCTGAAGCTGAACCCTGCGAAGACAGAGGTCCTGTGCCTATGGCACAGTATGGGATTGGGGCTCCTGCTCCCAGCCTTCGATGGGGCACCTTTGGTGCCAGCTTCGGAGGTTAGGAGTTTGGGAGTGCTCCTGGACCCCACTTAACGATGGAGGCCCAGGTGGCAGCCACTGCCAAAGCAGCCTTTCATCATCTACGGCTGGTGCGGCAGTTGGTCCCCTTCCTTAGCTGCAACCTTTGGTGCCAGCTTCGGAGGTTAGGAGTTTGGGAGTGCTCCTGGACCCCACTTAACGATGGAGGCCCAGGTGGCAGCCACTGCCAAAGCAGCCTTTCATCATCTACGGCTGGTGCGGCAGTTGGTCCCCTTCCTTAGCTGCGAAGACCTG